CTGGAGGAAAGCAACCGGAAGCTCTGAAGTATATTAAAACTTGAGGGATGACTATAAAGTGATAATTTGTTTAAAGAAGGATTTCTTAACCTTAACAGTATTGATATTTGGGGGCAGACAATTCTTAGTCATGAAGAATTGTCCTGAATATTGTAGGATGCTTAGAACCAATATTGGCTTCCATCCACGAGTGCCGGGAACAAGTTGAGACGATCAAAAACATCTCCAGAAATTCCCAAATGTCCCCTGGGGGGCAAAATCCTCCCCAGTCGAGAACTATTGTTCTAAAGGAAGCTACCAACATTTATTCAAATAACAGTTTGCTTCAGAGTAATCACTTTGGCAATTACACATTTGTTTCAGTGATGCAGTCATTAAAACAATTTTTGAGCTTTTCTTTAACAATCAACTTTAGAGTTTCTCAGAATTTCATTTAAATGGTTTTAAAGGAGGAAAAATTTTTTCCTACTGCTTCTGTACAACAAGTTCATAACTAATCAAAAGTTAAGTTGGTTTAGAGGCAAATGGATCAAACAGGGCTATATTTTTATCAGTGGGGTGGGAAAAGGGTAGGGAGTAGAGCTGGGTTTAATGATAAAGTAATCTACTACTGACATTTTCAGCTTATGGTTTATAAAACAAGAACAATTCTCCCCCCGCCCAAAAAAAAGCCAAGGGAAATGTTTGGAGCTATGGCAGTATTAGTGGAATAGATAGATAGATAGTAGTCTGAGGTAAACATTTTTGAAGAAACACTCATTTAGATGTATATACTCCAGCAGAATCATTTATCTGCTGGAATTATCACCAATTAAAAGGAAGCAAATCAGGAGGCTGAGGCAGGAGAATTGCCTGAACCCAGGAGGCGGAGGTTGCGGTGAGCCGAGATCGCGCCATTGCACTCCAGCCTGGGTAACAAGAGCGAAACTCTGTCTCAAAAAAAAAAAAAAAAAAAAAAAAAAAAAGGAAGCAAATCTAGAATATGGAACAGCCTAGGTGAAAAATTATTTCAAATGAAAATGGCCATACTGCTCAAAGTAATTTACAAATTCAATGCTATTCCCATCAAGCTACCGATGACCTTCTTCACAGAACTGGAAAAAAACCACCTTAAACTTCATATGGAACCAAAAGAGAGCCCGCATAGCCAAGTCAATTCTAAGCAAAAAGAACAAAGCGGGAGGCATCACACTACCGGACTTCATACTATACTACAAGGCTACAGTAATCAAAACAGCATGGTACTGGTACCAAAACAGAGATATAGACCAATGGAACAGAACAGAGGCCTCAGAGGAAATACAACATATCTACAACCATCCGATCTTCGACAAACCTGACAAAAACAAGCAATGCGGAAAGGATTCCCTGTTTAATAAATGGTATTGGGAAAACTGGCTAGCCATGTGCAGAAAGCAGAAACAGGACTCCTTCCTGACACCTTACACCAAAATTAACTCCAGATGGATTAAAGACTTAAACATCAGACCTAACACCATAAAAACCCTAGAAGAAAATCTAGGCAAAACCATTCAGGACATAGGCGTAGGCCAGGACTTCACGACCCAAACACCAAAAGCGTTGGCAACAAAAGCCAAAATAGACAAATGGGACCTAATCAAACTCCACAGCTTCTGCACAGCAAAAGAAACAGTCATTTGAGTGAATCAGCAACCAACAGAATGGGAAAAATTTTTGCAGTCTACCCATCTGACAAAGGGCTGATATTCAGAATCTACAAAGAACTAAAACAGATTTACAAGAAAAAAACAAACAAGCCCATTCCAAAGTGGGCGAAGGATATGAACAGTCAGTTTACAAAAGAAGACATACATGAGGCCAACAAACATATGAAATAATGCTCATCATCACTGGTCATTAGAGAAATGCAAATCAAAACTACATTGAGATACCATCTCACATCAGTTCAAATGGTGATCACTAAAAAAATCTAGAGACATCAGATGCTGAAGAGGATGTGAAGATATAGGAACACTTTTACACTGTTTGTGGGCATGTAAATTAGCTCAATCATTGTGGAAGACAGTGTGGCGCTTCCTTAAGGACCTAGAAAGAGAAATTCCATTTGACCCAGCAATCCCATTACTGGGTATATATCCAAAGGATTATAAATCATTGTACTATAAGGACACATGCACACGAATGTTCATTGCAGCACTGTTTACAATAGCAAAGACCTGGAACCAACACAAATGCCCATCAGTGATAGACTGGACAGGGAAAATGTGGCACATATACACCATGGAATATTATGCAGACATCAAAAACGATGAGTTCGTGTCCTTTATAGGGACATGGATGAACCTGGAAACCATCATTCTCAGCAAACTGACACAACAGCAGAAAATCAAACACCGTATGTTCTCACTCATAGGCGGGTGTTGAACAATGAGAACACATGGACACAGGGAGGGGAGCACTACACACTGGGGTCCGTTGGGGGAAATGGGGGAGAGACGGGGGGGTGGGGAGGTGGGAAGAGATAGCATAGGAAGAAATGACAGATACAGGTGAGGGGAAGGAAGGCCGCAAACCACACTGCCATGTGTGTACCTATGCAACAATCTTGCATGTTCTTCACATGTACCCCAAAACCTAAAATGCAATTTAAAAAAAAATTTCAAATTTGTTAATTATAACACATATGCCATGTGTGTATGTGGCAATATATACATAATATACACACATGCATTACAGAATAAAAAAATACATGTCCATGCCACTGACTACACATGATTTTGTGTTTTGTTTTGATAGTTCATATATATATATATATATATATATATATATATATATATATATATGTATGTTAACCTATGTTTCTCCTTGGCATTTTAAAGGGTAAGCCCTGAAGTGCCAGGTAGGATAATAGGGGGCAAGAGAGGTCAGGTCCTATTGCTTGGGCAGAGCTGGGAGGGGTGGTCAATGGGACTTTGGGTAGTCATTGAAAGTTTCTTTTGTTCCAGTCCAGTGCAAGAGCAGTATAAGGACTTCTGAGTACCCCCAATAGGCATGGAAGTGTGAAAGGAAAATATCTTGGGCCCCCAAAATCACTAAAAGGGAAAAAGCAGCTGGGAACTGCTTAGGGCAAACCTGCCTCCCATTCTATTCAAAGTTATCCTCTGCTCACTGAGATAAATGCATACCTGATTGCCTCTTTTGTAAAGGTTAATCAGAAACTCAAAAGAATGCAATCCTTTGTCTCTCACCTATCTGTGACCTGGAAGCTCTCCCAGCTTTGAGTCTTCCTGCCTTTGCTTTCAGTTGTCCCCGCCTTTCCAGATGGAACCAATGCACTTCTTAAATATATTGACTGATGTCTCATGTCTCTCCTAAAAGTTTAAAACCAAGCTGGGCCCTGACTACCTTGGGCACATGTTGTCAGGACTTCCTGAGGTTGTGTAACAGGTGCATGTCCTCAACCTTGGCAAATAAAGTTTCTAAATTAACTGAGAAATTTTTTCATTCCATTTTCAGAAAATCTTTCAGATTTTCTGGGTTTACAGAAGTGTTACAGAAGAACCATAGAAAATTGTTATAAGTAAAATTTCAGTGCTGCAAAAGAAATAGCACTCAAAGATAAATCCTCTCAGCAAACTTACTTCTACAGAAGGGTGCAGCTCACAGATGGAACAATGGCAAGAGCACACCTGGACAAGGAGGGAAAGGGGTACTTATGCCTGATGGGAGTTGCCCCTACTGCTGTCTTGTTCCCCTATTGGCTAGGGTTAGACCACACAAGCTAGACAAATCCCAATTGGCTATTTTAAAGAGAGCAGGGGTCCAAGCTGGAGTGGCAGGGTGGGTGGTTTGGTGGGAAGGATGGTTACAGGTGGGTCAGAGCAGGTAGCCAGGGGTGACCTGGGTCAAAGAAGGTGACTGGAGCAGGTGACTGAAGCAGGTGACCTGGATGAGTCAGGTCAGGGAAGGGGGCCAGGGGAACAGATATGAACCACTGATTAGAACCGGTGGAGAAGGTTGTTCACTGGAACTACAAGGAAGTTAAACTTTAAAATAGAGAATTAAAGAATAAGAGAGCTAAACATACTGAAATACTGATTTTTTGAAAAGGAACTTGGGGTTCACTGTATCTAAAAAAATGAAAGTCATAAAAGTAGAAACAACATATATCTCTTCAGATCTGCAAGCACAAGTGGCCAAAGACCTGATGGGACCCTGGATATCTCAGAGGATGGCAACATAGACAGGGAATATGGAGGATTAAGAGTCTGCTCCTCCCAATTACCCTGATACTACATAAGCTTCTTGTAACTTGCTGAGGGTAGAGAGGAGGTACTCAGAGATTAACATTGACTAAAATAGTTTTCTACCACCCCAAAGAGTAAAAGTTTGAAATAAAAATAAAACTGTAAAAAAATTATTATTTTCTTATGTCAGACCAAATAGACTTTAAGTCAAAAACCATCATAAGAGATAAGATCATTATATAGTGACAAAGGGGTCAATTCATCAAGAGAATATATTGTAAATACATATGTACCCAACATAGCAGCACCACAAATAATGCAGATTAATAGATCTGAAAGGAGAGACAGAACATGACACAATGGTTGAGCACTTTAATATCCTACTTTCAACATCACATAAATCATGACATAAAATAAATAAGGAAACATTGAACTTGAAGTACATGTTAGATTAAATGAACCTAAGACATGTGTAGAGCATTCTATCCAACAACAGCAGAATACACATTCTTCTGAAGTGTACACAGAACATTCTCCATGACAGGTGACTTATTAAGCCACAAAACAAGTGTTAGCAAATCTGAAATCATATCAAGCATTATTTCTTATCACAATGATGTGAAACTACAAATCAATAACAGGAGGAAAACTGGAAAATTCACAAATACATGGAAAGTAAGCAACATGCACCTGAACAACTCATGGTCAAAAAAGAAATCAAAAGAGAAATTTAAAAATATTGAGACAAATGAAAATGAAAACACAACTTACCAAAACTTAGGGAATGTCACGAAAGCAGTTCTAAAAGGGAAGTTTAAATACCTATAATAGAAAAGAAAAACAAAATTCAAATAAATAATCAACATTACATCTCAAGAAACTAGAAAAAGAAAAAGTAAACACAAACAAGAAAATACAGAGTAGAAATAAACGAAATAAAGACTAGAAAAACAAAAAGATAGATAAAACTAAGAGTTGGTTTTCTGAAAAACTCAACAAAATTGACAAACCTTTAGCTGCACAAAGGAAAAAAAGCAAAGACTAATAAATAAAATTGGAAATGAAAGAAGAGACATTGCAATGATACCACAGAAATCCAAAAGATCATAAGAAATACTATGAAAAAAAAGATACATTAACATATCCCAGAATAAATGAATACACTCCTAGAAACAGAGAACCTTCCAAGATTGAATTATGAAGCTGGAGAAAATCTGAACAGACCAACAGTGGGTAAGGAGATCAAGTCAGTAATCAAAAACCTCCCATAAAATAAAAGTCCATGACCTGATAACTTCACTGTTGAATTCCACCAGACATTTAAAGAATAACTAATAGTAATTCTTGTCAAACTCTTCCAAAAAACTGAAGAGAAGGGAATACTTCTGAACTCATTTCATAAGGTCAGCATTACCCAGATACTAAAGTCAGACAAGGACACTGCAAGGAAAGAAAACTTCAGGGCAATACCCTTGATGAACATAGAGGCAAAAATCCTCAAGAAAATACCAGCAAATCAAATTCAACAGCACATTAAAAGGATCATTCACTATGATCAAGCAGGATTAATCCCTAGGATACAAGGATGGTTCAACAAATGCAAATCAATAACTGTGATACACCATATTCCATAGAATGAAAGACAAAAACCGCATAATCATTCCAATAGATGCAGTAAAAGCATTGGACAAAATTCAACATCCTTTTATAATAAAAACTCAATGAATTTGGTTTAGAAGAAACCTCAAAACAATAAAGGCCATATATAAAAAGCTAACATAATACTCAGCAGTAAAAAGTTGAAAGTTTTTCCTCTAAGATCAAGATAAGGATCCCCACTCTCACCACTTATTGTGTTTTTTTGTTTTAAAAAATAGAAATTTATTTCTTACAGTTCTAGAGGCTGGAAGTTCAAGATTGAGGTGCCAGCAAGATAAGGTCTCATTCTGAAGTCTCTTCTCTTGGCGAGCAGGTGGCAGTCATCTCACTGTGTGTTTGAATGACCTCTTTGTTGAGCCCTCCCCACTTCTATTCAACATAGTAAAGTCTTCCCTCCAAATTAATGGGTTCTGTATCCACGGAATCAGAGGGCCAATTATACATATTTTCACTCCACTGCTGGTGGATGTGGAACTCCCAGTTATGAAGGTCAACTGTACTACACCATGAAGCATTCTAACTTTTAAAACTTTTTTTTATTTTTATTTTTATTTTTGAGACATGATCTTGTTTCATTACCCTGGCTAGAGTGCAGTGGCATGTCACGACTCACTGCAGCCTTGCTCTCTTGGGCTAAGGCAATTCTCCCACCATAGCCTCTCAAGTAGCTGGGACTACAGGCATATGCCACAATGTCTAGCAAATTTTTTATATTTTTTGTAGAGACGGGTGTCTTATTGTGTTGCCCAGGCTGGTCTCAAATTCCTGGGCTCCGGTGATCCTCCCACCTTGACCTCCCGAAGAGCTCAGATTGTACGCATGAGACACTGTGCCTGGCCTGGACTAGAGGAATCTCAGATTTTGGTATAGGGTCTGTACTGGAGGATCTAGCCACAGCAATTACGCAAAAAAGAAATAAAAAGGCATCCAAATCAGAAAGGAAGATGTTAATGTATCTGCTTGCAGTCAACAGGATTTTACAACTAGAAAACCCTAATGAGTGCTGGGTGTGATAGCTCACACCCGTAATCCCAACGCTTTGGGAGGCCGAGGTGAGGGGATCACGTGAGCCCAGGAGTTCAAGACCAGCATGGGCAACAAAGTGAGACCCCATCTCTACAATAAAAATCAAAAAATTAGCCAGGCATGGTGGCACACACATGTGGTTCCAGCTACGCAGGAGGCTAACGCAGGACGGCTTGAGCCCGGGAGGTCAAGGCTGCAGTAAGTCATGATCACGTCACTGCACTCTAGCCTGGGTGACAGAGCAAGACCTTGTCTCAAAAAAAAAAAAAAAAAAGAAGAAGAAAAAAAATGAAACTAGAACAAAGCAGGCAGAAGGAAGGATAAGCAGCTTGCTAAGTCTGTTCACTCTTTCTTCCTTACAGGACGCTTGCTCCATCTCCTCCTGTCCTTGAATGTCAGATTCCAGGCTCTTTGGCCTTTGGACTCTGGGAACTTGCACCAGTGGCCTCTCAGGGCCCCTCAGGTCTTTGGCCTCAGACTGAGGGCTGCACTGTTGGCTTCCCGGGTTTTGAAGCTTTTGAACTTGGACTAAGCCACACTACTAGCTTCTCTCTCTTTCTTCAGCTTGCAGATGGCCTCTTGTGAGATGTTGCTTTGTAATTGTGTGAGCCAATTCTCCCTAACAGACTGTCTTTTATATATACATCTATCCTATTGGTTCTGTCCCTCTGGAGGATTCTAATACAGACTTGTGAGTTTGTCAAGTGAGATCTGAAACCATTTACTTTAGGTATGGGATTCAGTCAGTACGATTTTTCTTTTATATCCTTAAACGTCAGTGGTTCTTAGACCTGGTTGAAAATCAGAATCACCCAGAGAGAGATTTGGATTCAGTTGATGTTTGGAAAAATTCTGATGGGTAAGGTTTGAGAATTTTTTCTTAATGCTTCATAAATCATTCTCAGACATGACGACACCCATGACAACATGAGCAACAGGCATAAAATACGTGACAAAGGATTCAGTAAGAGAAAGTCACTAGGGAAAGATAAGGCATCTGGGTCAAGAAGGGCAGGAACAGGAGGTGCAATCAATGCTGGAAAATATTTACCTGGGATTTCAAAAGAACTTACGAGAGATGTGAAATATGCGGACAGATCTTTGAATTAGCACATATATCCAGGTTGTAAACTAACCTCTTATGTCAGGGATGACTGCTTGAAGTTCCTAAGTATCTGTGAAAGACAAAATCATTACTCTATCTTAGGTCTCAGTAAATCACAGAAAATTAGACTATAAGCCTTATAATTTCGGCAAACAAAACCGATGGAGAAATGTCTAAGACACTAAACACCTAGCTTTCTACTTTTTCAATGGAAATGTTACAGAATCAAGGAAGGTGCTTTCATCTGCAAGTAACAGAAAACTCAAAATGGCTTAACCAATAAGGGGATATATTTTCTCATAGTACAAGAAGTCCAAAGGTAGGTCAGTTATCCTGAGTTGGCAAATTCTCTTTTGTCATTTTCATGGAAAAAGATAGCAGCAACCATTTCAAATAGCACATTCTCATATACCTTTATTTAGAGCAGTAAAAGAGAATTTTTTCATGTGTCTCTTTTTAGATGCTTCAAAATCCTTTTCGATGCTCCTCCAGAGGTCCTTAAATACCCCTTCCAAGAACTGTATCACATGCCAACATTTAAATGAAGCATTGAAAAAAAAAAAAAAAACTGGGACTTGGCCAGGCGCGGTGACTCACGTCTGTAATCCCAGGACTTTAGGCGGCCAAGGCAGGCGGATCACAAGGTCAAGAGATCGAGACCATCCCGACCAACATGGTGAAACCCCATCTCTACTAAAAATACAAAAATTAGCTGGGCATGGTGACGTGTGCCTGTAGTTCTAGCTACTCAGGAGGCTGAGGCAGGAGAATCGCTTGAACCTGGGAGGTGGAGGCGCAGTGAGCTGAGATTGCACCACTGCACTCCAGCCTGGTGACAGAGTAAGACGCCGTTTCAAAAAAAAAAAAGAAAGAAAAAGAAAACCCTGAGACTGTAGTGATTTCTTCGTTCATCTACATTGCATTTACTCTCCCATTCCATTCCACAAGTCACATGGGGAAGCACATGACTTCAGGGAGAAAGGAGTACCCCAAAATAAGGAAGAAGAGTGGTTAGCACACATAGAAGAAGGAAGGTTGAGAGACAATGTTGGCTGTAGCCCTAACAAAGAGATTACTGTGCAGAGCCATTTCAAATATAAACGGAAGCGGACAGCCTGAGCCTCTCCAAGTGATCTCTACCTTTCCTGCTCATACGTGCTCAGGATAAACTAATCTTGATTTTCATTTAAGCAAAGCATGATTAATGAGTGAATATGTTAAGTATGCCTGATAAGTTAAACATACTTTGTAACACCATATAAGACTTGATAGTGACTTATATATCTGTTATTTAGAATTATCTCATGCCACTGTCTCTTTGATACAGATAACACACTATAAATCTGCAAATGCAGAGAGCATAGGGTGGGGCTACTACTCATAATTGTTGTTATATCAATTCCATGGACTCATGTTGTTCTGATGGATATACAACATATTTAAATAAAATCGATGTTTCCCATCCTCCAATAACAATGACATAATAGAACATATTACCACTTTTTCTATATGAATTATCTCATGTCTGTCTCTCAATCAGGTTTAAGAGTAGTCATTTCCATGTAAATTAGAACCTCCAAACAAGTATCTTTACCATTCTTTCCACTCTCTACTACTCCATTACTTCATCTCAATTTTCACTTCCTCATTTTCCCTTCATAAGGGAATTTATTAAGAATAGATGCCTTTAGAAAAGATAACATATGTGCATGACCCACCAGACTAATTCAGACTGCATTTCTGTTTGGCACAAGCTCTCCAGTGTAATCAAGATTCTTGAGTTTGAGTAGAGGCAAACAAACTAGATGTTCACTTAACAACCTCAACATGTTAATATGACAACTTGTAAGAAATGAAGGAGTCATAGAAGCCAATGATACAGCAACAGGCCCCACTAGGAAATAAAATTCATGTAAAAACTTTAGCACGAGGGCTAAACATTGTGCTACTTATTGCGTTTATTTTTACTTTTATCGCTAACAGAGGGTCTCTCAATCTAAGCAAAGCAATCAGTATCCTTCCAAAGTCTCTG